CGGCCCGAAGGGCCGGAGTTATATGCGAGCCCGAAGGGCCGGAGTAATACAAGCCCGAAGGGCTGTTATACGCGAGCCCGAAGGGCCGGAGTTATACGCGAGCCCGAAGGGCTAGAGTTATTTTAATCACGGGACTCAGTCTATAATTCTATTGGTCAGCCGATAATTTAGAGCCAATTAAAAACCGGGAGTATTTAAAATGCGATTTTTAGCGTCCGATCAAAGACCCGGGAATATTCAAAAACTTTAGTTTTATCAAATTGATTTTTGAATGTTGGTTTTCCTAAGATTTTTACTTTTTTCAGAAAACGGTGGTTTTTGCAAACATATACTACCCAATAAACATTTTTCGCAACTTATAGTAACGTCAAGTTATATAATGGGTATATAATAGTAACAAAGGTATATAAGAAGGTTTCCAAGTTTTATAATCTGCAACCTATGGTAACATAGTTTTATAAAGTATTTATAAGTTTACTATAACTTACAGGTATATAATAAGGTGATGTAACTATTTCCATCACCATTTTATAAAACTTTTAGTACCCGTTACTAAAGTATTTATAAGAAATTTTTATAAAGGTTACCGTTACCTCATTTATATAACTAGAATACCCCTAGTTATATAAAAGTGTTGTCAATCACCTTTATAGAACCTGGAAACTAGTAGTGTTTGCAGTATGTATATGTTATAAAACTTTATAAAACCTTTAGTAAAACGAAACTACCTAATTTGACATATGACAATAATCAGGTGTCTGTTGTTGTTTATTATTGTTATAAGAAATCTGTGCATAATGATTTTGAAAAAAATGAAGTTCAGTACATCATTTCGCCGGAAAATTTCAAAAAAATTTAATAAAATCTCAAATTCAGTGCCCTCAGTATCTTCCACGAGGACACTAAACACAATTTCGTAGACAAGAAAATAAATTACTTGAGGGAACTGATAAACATGATGATTATAGCAATAACACTATTTTGAGACCAAAATTGCCAATACCGGCGCTGACGGCATCTGGTTAAAAGTTAAGTACATAATGTTACTAATAGTTATAAAATATAACCTTAGGTGATATTATAGTTTCCAGAGTTTATATTGTTACTAAAGTGATCCGCCATATTTTTCTAACCAAAATCATAATAATAAAAAAGATGCGTTGCAAAAACACTAGGTTAAGCTGATTTTGATGCAAAATATACAATAATTGTTTAATACTGGCATATGCAAAACGGAAATGACATTAATTTCTTCTTAAATCTCATTTTAATTAATATTTATATGTGTATATTTTGTGAGAAAACTGATTTGAAATTAATAAAAAGTGAATATTTGAAGGGCCCCTGCGTTTTTTCGAAGTACCGGTTCTACTTTTGCAGTAGAAAAAGTTTCCCAACTATATTTTGAGTCTACCAATGCTGTAAAATTACAACAAAGTACCATCGTTTTCTAATAGGTAAATATTATTAATATTTGGACTCCATATTTGTTTTTTTTTAGTAACAGACATCTTGAAATAGAATTGTGGGAATAGAATAGTAGGAGACCATTTAAAGCAATGTATTTGAGAGAGAAAAAATATGTATTTATAATGATGACAGAATTGACAAAAGTTATATAGTGGTTACCACAATATTTCCGTTACCAATGGTTACATAAATTAAAGTTATATACCGTTACTAAACACAGGTTTTCGAAACCTTTATAAACGCTCAATTTAAGCTCTTTAAAGGGTCTATAGGAGTAACAGAAATATTTCGGTAAATGGATATAAAACCTTAAGTTATATAAAGAAGGTGATATAACATTTACGGTAAATATTATAAAAACAAAAATGTTTATTGGGTACTTTATCATTGTCTTTGTCTTACTCACTATAATCAATAAGTGAACCTTATAATGTCATTTTCATTGATTTATTAATTTCATTATTAATTAATTATTAAATTGAATTTTAAACAAAAAACTCTTTTAAAATGTTATTTTTGTTTTCCGAGATGAGATGTGGCAACGTTGCTTTTAGTTGGCCATTTTGAAGTGACGCCTTGTGACTTTTTGCCAGTTTTTTCTCGAATTTTCGATTTTCCGGAGTTTTTACCATAATTAGCAAAATCCCATTTAAAATGCTTTTGATGTGGCAACATCGCTTGTGGCTAAATTCAATCAATGAAGCATTTTTGACAGTAGGCCATTTTCAATTGACGTGTTTACATTTTTATTCAGTTTTTCTTCGAATTTCCACTTTTACGGGGCTTTTTCAGTGGGGAAAACTGATTTAAAGTACGAGGCTTTGAGTTTTCTTCATTTTCCACCAAAAATTTCCAGAGTTTTAACGGGGTAAGTGAGAAAAACTTTAGTTTTATCAAGTAGGTTTTGGAATGTCATTTTCGTTGTTTTTTTTTTAGAATTTTTATTTAAGGTTCTTGGGGTCCGGGGATCGTTTTCTACCACTTTTTTTCTCGAAATTCGCAAAAAAAAAAACTTTTTTGACGTTGACAGCTGTCAATTTTTTTTTGACACAAATCGATAGTTGGCGTCGTGAAACTGCCTTGCACCGGGGTTTGATTTTCGTAGCTTTTATAGTAGAGCGGGGAAAAAGTCGAACATGTGTCAAATTTGACAGGTGACATTTGTTGATATTGCCAAAGTGTCGTGGGACAAAAGTTTTATCCGAACGAACCCGTTCATTGTTAACTGATTTCATTACTCCGGCCCTTCGGGCCGTAATCTTTGAAACAAAAAGACGTCATTTTGTATCGATTGTCAAAAAAACCCAAGGTTTGAAATTTCAATTTTTTGACGTTTGTTGTATCATGAGCAGTGTTGCCATATGTTTTTTTTCGAATCTCGATTCTGGAAGGCTGAGGTTATCTCAATTATGAGCTCAAAGGGCCAAGGTTATACGAGTCCGAAGGGCCGGAATCATGCGAACCCGAAGGGCCGGAGTTATACGAGCCCGACAGGCCGGAGTTATTTTAATCATGAGCCCGAAAGTCCGAGGTTATAAGAGCCCGAAGGGCCGGAGTTATACGAACCCGTTGAACTGATTTTAAAACTTCGGCCCTTCGGATCGTAATCTTTGAAAGAAAAAGACGCCATTTCATATCGACAGAATTCCATAATATAGTAGAATTTCGGTAGAATAATTATGTTATTCTGAAAAAGGAATTAGATGAGAAATTTTGGCGGAGTTTCCATAGAATTCACATTAAATTTTAATTCCTCTCGAATTACTTGAAATTTCAGTGAAATTCCGATCGAATTACACGAAATCCTAAATGAATTACATGGAGGAATTTTAAACAATTACATGATATTACACCTAAATTCTCAACATGAAATTTCAGTTTTTACTGAATTTTAGTACTGCCGAGGAATTTCCAGCTAAAAACATGGAATTTCGGTGATATTCCGAAAAATTACCATGAAATTTCAATATATTTCGATGAATTTTTAAGATATTACTTGAAACTTCATTAATATTCCCAGAAATATTAAAAGAAATTCTTATGAAAATAAATTAAATTTTGAAAATTCCTTGAAGTTTCATTGGACTTTCGAGAAATTTTCGGTTATGTTATGAGCGTGGATATTTTCATAAAATTTTAGTGAATTTCGAGAAATTTCTAAGAAATTACATGAAATGTCAATGAAATTCCATAGAATTTTATGAAAATTCGGAATTCCAAGATATTTCGGTGGTAAAATTTTGAGGAATTTTAGTTAAAGTTAAAAAAAAAAAATATGGAACTTTGAAATTGAAATCTTAGTGGAATTCCGAGGAATTTCATGAAATCCTATACTGTAATTCCGAAAAAAAAAGAGTTCCATAAAATCTTCTAATGAAATGTTAAGGTATTTATTTCTATGGAATTACTTAAAATTTTCGCGAAATTCCCATGGAATAACTTAAAATTTTAATGGAATTCCAAAGAACTTTGATGAAATCTTCGAGAGGTTTTTTCCCCAATTAGTTTTCCAGGAAAACTTTGAAAGTGTGAGACTGTATTTTCCAAGAGGCAAAACCACCTTGGAATTCTTTGTAAAAAACTTGGGGAATTTATAGGGCATTTGGAAGATTGTGTTCGATGTTGGACAAATTCCAAGGAATTCTCGTCGAATTACACCTACATGGAATTCCTTGAAATCTTATTGTGGAATTCCAGTGAAATTATATCAAAACCGATAAATTCCTTCGGAATTAAACAAAATTTTCGTGGAATTTCCATGGAACCACGAAAAATTTCGGCGGAATTCCGAAAACTTGAATTAAATTTTAGTGAAATTCTGGGTAATTTCTGTCGAAATTTCCATGAAATCTTCTACTGTAATTCCGAGGAATTTTTGTACAAGAATTTCATTGAATTTTATGGTGGAATTCGGAAAAGGTTTATGAAATCTTATGATAAAATTTCTAGGACTTTCTGTTTTTCTATTCAAATTTGTCATTTGAATGGAATTTCGAGGATTTCCATTAAATCTTCTAGTGAAATTCTGAGGAATTTCTATGGAACTAACAAAAATTTTCGCAGAATTCCCATGGAATATTTATTGTTAAGGCTCCCCTAAATTAGTTGGTAAATTTGTATACAAGTTGGTCAAAATCCCAGAAAAACTCCTAAGATCTACTCAAAATCACTGAAAATCTTTAAAATCTTTTAGCCTCCTCACTTGAAATAGTCACGAGCCGCTACTGGTTCTGGTACTGAGATGACTGGATTTTTACTCGGAATTGGAATCATCCCACCTTCCCAACACGGGTTCCTTCTAGGAAGGTCAAGTTTCACAAACCTGCTTACCAAGGTTCAAGGTTCACGATTGGACAAGGGCATTCTGTCTGGCCAGTCTGTTGATGTATTTTGTCAAAAGTATAAACCCTCGTGAAACAAAGTGTACATATTTCTATTCCAGAATCTGATTTTGTTTTATTATGAAGTGAAATTAACAACTCTGCCTGTTATGCTTTCTCTTTATCTAAATAAAATTCTTTGCATAAAAATACATAATTAATAAATTTGTTTATTATTCACACATATAACAAAACAAAAATTATCTACGTTTGCGTCCTTTTTGGCTCTTTTTAAACGAATTCTTCTTACCATTCGTAAACTTATTTAATTTTATATTAATAACACCCCTATCTTTTTTTATTGATTCCTTATTTTTTGGCTTATACAATGGTATATGCTTTTTTTTTAGTTTCAAGTTACTCTCGATGGCAGTTTTCATGACGTCTATAGCTTTTTCTTCTGAGCCAGCCGTTTCGAAAATTGTATTGCCAGCATTTTCCATAAACGGGAATTTGCCACTGAAACCTTTAGGGAATATTTGCGCCGCCAAAAGGGTCCCTAACCTTTTCCGTTTGATTTCGGCCAACTTTCTACTGGAACTTGTTTCTTCACTGTCATATTTTTTATATCTGATACTCAATTAAGGAAAGTAAATTTTTTGTTGTTATCACTAAGGGCCATATTCTCCGTAGTTCATAAAGCCTGGCTTAGTGGAAAAGCTCGGCTTTGTCACACAAAAAGCCAAGCGTTTCCACTAAGCCAGGCTTTATGAACTACGGAGAATATGGCCCTAAGCAAAATTCAAAAAATAAAGGATACATTCCATCAACAATAATGTCCATATCTTTAGCTGCTTTTTGCAGCCAACCTTCTTCGGAATTAGCTTTACGCACTTGCAATTCAAGCTTGTCCAAGTCCCTAGCTAAGTTAACTCTCTCCTTAACTGCACTCAAAAATTTATCATTTACAGGAAAAATTGGCAAGTCCTCCCCTAAAAAGGAGAAAAACTATTCAATTCGTTTGAAGAAATCCTTGGTATGTTTACCTTTTCCTAAAGTTTTACACAACTTTAAGTAATTACTAAATTCGTTTGGTTCCATGAGTAAAATAGTGATTCCTTGTTTGGAGGCTCTGGCAGTACGTCCGGACCGATGCACGTAGCTTTCGCTAGTTCTAGGCGTTTGATAATGCAGAACATGATCGATTTTTGGTATATCTAAACCTCTTGCAGCCACATCGGTTGCTATTAGGATACTATTTTCAGTATCTCGGAATCTAAAAAATAGTTGCCAATGAAAGTACATATACTTCTGATGTGTTTACCTTTCTAAATTTTTTAGTCTCTGCCTCTGTTGCATACTAGCATGTAAAGGTAAAGGACTACAGTCCAACAAAGACAGCAAAGTAGTCAAACGTTTGACGCATCCTATGGAGTTGCAAAATATTAAAGTCCTGCCAGGATGTTTTTTCAAAAAATAATAAACATAATGGTCTTTTTCGTCTATGGCACAAGTGATTCTGCATTCGGTGAGAGTTCCAGAAGTTCCTGAAAATGTTTTAGTTACACAAAATGTTTATTTTGTGTAGATAAATTACCTGTCCCTTGAGATAAATCAACTATTTTCGGATTGGTCACACCAAGAGTAGCGACAATTTTTTGCAACTTCTGCTCTGGTGACATATCATTAACTTTCCTACCTTTAATTTTATTTTTGGTCAACAAATGTTTTGGAATATCATGAATCAAAGTCAAAGTGGCTGAAAACACAAAATTTTGCCTTTTATTTCTAATTTCTTCATCCATATTAATTCTTTCTAATACATCATGTAGCTCTTTGAAATGACCTCGTTCAAGCATTCTATCTGTTTCATCAATAGCTAAAAACCTACAAAAAATAATGTAATATGTATTTTTAAAAGCATATAAATTTTACCTAATGTTATCAATCTGAGACAAATGTTCGTTTCCTTGCTGAATTAGTTTCCATAACCGGCCTGGTGTTCCTACGACAATCTCAGGACCATGACTCAAAATCCTTTCTTGTTTTACTGCAGCCATACCACCAACAATTACAGCAATATTTATTCCTGTATATTTTGCAATATTTGTCAAATGGCTTTTAACTTGCATCGCCAATTCTCTTGTAGGTGTAATAATTAGGGCATACAAAGGTTTTCTAATGACAGTGTCTTTTATTTTATAAGAATTCACACAACCAATGCCATTTTCATCCAAGCCTAATTCATCATCTGACTCACTATCTGATTCGTTGTTAGTGGAGGTTTTATTATTTGCTTGTTCTTTTAATCTTAGGATACCATTTAAAATTGGTAAACCGAACGCTAGGGTTTTGCCACTGCCAGTTTCAGCAGCTCCCAAGATATCCCGTTGACCTGTTGATAATTGGTTGATTATAATTTATTTATTTACGGGTTTCCCCCATTAAATGTTATAACTTACAATTAATATTTCTATGTTATGGTTTTATTATCACAGACATACACCTATCAATTGGTGAGTTAAGGCCATAGTTTGTTCTATGATAATTTATGCCAAACAGATAATTGTAATGTAACCGCCTTGATGGTATATGAAACTGATTCAGATGTAATAATTTTGAGCAAGAAATTTGGGAGTTAATAATATTATACAATATAATATGCACAAACAAATCAGCTTTCAGACGTCTATGTTCTTATAATTCCATATTTATTATAGTTCTTACTTCATTATAATTGTGATCAACTATATTCATATTCAGTCTTACTGAACAGTATCTGGGAAATCTATTTTGAACTCTCTCCAACAGGAATATAGGGATGTTGTAAAACGGTGACCCATATTCGAGTTGAGAGCACACTATATTTGTATACACACATTTAAGTGAGTCTACACCAAAGAATTTACAGCTCCTTAGAACAAAACCCAACATTTTGGACGATTTTACAATTACATTATATGTGTTCCATAAATTTCAAACTCTCATCAAATACTACACCCAGGTTGGTTGTTGTACTTACATATTTTATTGGCAGATCATTGATAGAGTACATAAAATCGAATTTGCTTCTGATTCTATAAAAACTTATATGGAAACATTTGTTAACAGTTAACATTGAGTTTTAACTTATTAATAACGCACCACTCAAAGAGACTATTTAGGTCTTTCTGTAATAATTGTTGCATTAGACACAACTTTATACAATTTCAAATTATCAGCAAACAATAAAGGTGTACTGTATTTAAAACATGTTACTATATCATTAACAAACGAGTTAAAAAGCAGAGGTGAGCAGTTGGCCACCTTGTGAAACTCCAGATGATGCTAATATAATGTCAGACTTACAATTACCAATTTCAAATCTCTGTATTCTGTCAGCCAAGAAACTAACTAACCACTTAACCAAATGTCCATTAAAGCCTATGTCTAACGTAAACAACGCTGTCAAATGTCTTCGAAAAATTGGTATGAACAACATCGACCTGTGCCCTATCTTCCAATGCACTCAAGAGTGATGCCTGGTAGGATAGCAGATTTTTTACAGTGGATTTTCCTTTAATAAACCCATACTGTGCTTCATTAATCAGACCTTTACATGGCACCGGCCGTTGTACGCGGCGGAACGTTAATTTTGTCGCTTGATATTTTTCGTTATTTATTGTGAGCTAAATGCCGATTTAATAGTAGGTCAGTTTCTGCAGAAATCACAAACCAGTCAGAGCGAATTTCATTGGTTGAAAACAGTCAGAAAACTAGTTTCAACCAATGAAATTCATTCTGACTGGTTTGCAATTTCTGCAGAAACAGACCTAGTGAATTTCATATCAAAGTGTGTGCATTTTATCACCCCATCAAAGAACTTCAATTTTATGGAGTAAATATACTTTAGTTTTGGAAAATTAGTGAAAATTTGAGTTTAACATGCTCAAATATCAATAAAATAATCTTTTTTTTTATACATATAAACTATTTCTTATCAACCAAGCAGCGGTACTTGTCGCTATTGACCCTTTTTTTCTTTCTTTTTTTTTTTGTGATCAGTGGAGTAATAGTATACAGGGTGACACAAGGAATAGGGAACAGCCTATAACTTTTTTAATATATTAGTTGAAAATTTGAAATTTGGGGGGCTTAAACGAGGCAACTTTTTGAGTTTTTTAGAAGTAAATTGCGTTACCAGTCGCTTCCGGTTATACCGGAAGTGGCAATAACTGTTAATTTTCAAATGGGACACCCGGTATTTTTTGAGTTTTCTGGCATCAGCAGATCATTTTACGACCATTTTTGAAAGATTTATAACAAAACCAAAAAAAAATTGCATTTAAAAATAACTATTTTTCAAAAGTTGTTGGGTTATTTCTCAGCGGATTTTAAAAATGAAATGTTAATATCAAAAAATAGGGAAAAAAATTTAGTTTCAAAAAATTGATTGGTCCCAGCGTGGTTACATTTGAAAAATATGGAATACTTTAAAAAAACCTCTTTGTTTAATTTTGATCTGAAATTATGGCGTTCAGTTAGGAAAAAATTGAAGTTACAGATTTTCCTGATATTATGAATATCCAACTAAATCAATTTACACCAGTGGCAGCGCCGAATTTTTTTTCCTAAAAATTAATTCAATTTATTTTTTTTTATTAAAAATTTTCCAAAAATGGTCCTATCGTACTTAAAATGATCTGCCGATGCCAGAAAACTTAAAAAATGCCGGGTGTCCTATTTGAAAATCAAAAGTTATGGCCACTTCCGGTTAAACCGGAAGTAACTGGTAACGCAATTTACTTCCAAGAAACTCAAAAAGTTGCCCCGTTTAAGCTCCCAGAATTTCAAAATATTAATCTCGAGACAGAAATGAAAACTTTCTGTGCTCCCCTAATTTATTAAATATTTCAGGTTATCAGTGGTTTAATTAAAACACGATAGATACGTTTTAAGGCACGATAATATATTTCAATGTTTCGTCTTAAAACATAACAGAACGACTAACTTAACTTTAGCTTTTATATTTCATCTTCACACCCTAAACCTTTTCGGGGTGTGGGAAAAATACATTTACAACGCAAAAAGTAATACCCAAGTACAATAAATAAATAAGGCAATAAATACCAACCTTTTGGGTTTATTGCTCTTTGTCAATTCTCAGGTCGATTCCTGGTAAGGTAGATTTGTTTTTGTATATTATATTATCCTTTCGGATACATATTTCAACACTCCCACTCAAAAACAAGATCGAAAAATAATAATAATAATAGATAATCCTAAAAGCTATCATATGTACATTTAAGTTAATTGAACCATTTTATTATGATACAAAAATTGCGAATATATATTAATTACAAATTAAGTATACAATATGCATTTTTTAAATATTAGCAAAATATGGTTTTAATCTAATTATAACAATCAAAAAAAAAAACTTACTAAATTATCAAAAATATATGTACATAAATAAAGTGTTCTTGGAAAGGTAACGATTTTAATCAACCTCATTCTAGTCCAATACTATTCCTTACATTGACAAATTTAACTGCTGGTAATGGTTTTGTAAATGCGTCAGCCAGTTGTTCACCTGTAGGAATATATTGAACTGATATCTTATTTTGTATGATCTGTTCCCGTGTAAAATGATACTTAATGTCAATATGCTTGGTTCTTTTGTGGTTCGTAGGATTGTTGGCGATGCTTATACAACCGTTATTATCTTCAAAAATTGAAATGGGTTTTGAAATGTTTAAATTAAGGCTATCTAATAAACTTCTGAGCCAAATTGCCTCTCTCACACATTCAAAAAGAGCCATATATTCGGCTTCAGTTGATGAAGCGGCAACAGAAGTTTGCCTTTTCGAATTCCAAGAAATCGTGCAATTTTCGAAGACCCTAAATAAATACCCGGTCGTACTTCGTCTGTCAATCTCATTATTAGCCCAATCAGAATCCACATAGCCTTCAAGCATATTGTCAAAGTTTTTACGTTTGAAAGTTAATTTCAAATCAATTGATCCTTGTATGTATCGAAGTACTCTCTTTAAACATTTCCAAAGCTCTTCATTACATTTACTTTGAAAGCGACTTAATATACTTATAGTTATACATAAGTCGGGTCGTGTACACAGCATAGCATACATTAAGCATCCTATTAGATTTCTACATGGTAGGTTCGAATTAGGCTGATCAATATTTAATTCAACATAATTTAATTTATTTTCTAGTGGGGTTGAAACTGGTTTACATTCAGCCATATTAAATTTATTTAATACAGATTTCAAATAATTCGTCTGATCCAGAGTAATTGTATCTCTGTTTCTCTGTACTTTTATTCCCAAGAAAAGCCTTACTTCATTTAAATCTTTCATATGGAAATTACTCATTAAATATGATTTAAATTTTGACATTGTAGTCATATCTTTTGTTGAGATTATTAAATCATCGACATAAAGTATAACATATAAATTTTTATTAATATTACCTTTGTTAAGAAAGTACAAACAAGGATCAACTGAGGAACTTCTAAAACCGAGCTCTTTCATTGTTTTATCAAATTTTTCATACGAACACCTGGAGGATTGCTTTAAGCCATAAAGAGCCTTGTTTAATTTGCATACTTTATTGGCATCGGCTTTAATACCTTCTGGAAGTTGCATAAATATTTCTTCCTTTAGGACGCCATTTAAAAATGCAGTTTTTACGTCCATTTGATGGGCTAATAAATCATACTGATTTGAAAATGCCAATAGAAATCTAAAGGTAGATATTCGTGCAACTGGCGCAAAGGTTTCATTATAATCACTTAAATATTGTTGACTAAATCCCTTTGCTACCAGTCTTGCCTTATATCTTACTGGATTACCATGTTCATCGATTTTTGTAGTAAATACCCACTTGCAACCTACTATGTTTTTATTTGTGGGTTTATCGACTATTGACCATGTTTTATTTAAAAGGAGGGAGTCAATTTCATCCTTTATAGCTAGCTCTCACTGATCTCGGTCATCCCTTGCCTTTATTTCATCAAATGAATTTGGTATTGCATTGGAAAGGGACTTTGCATAGAGCAAATGACTGTATATGTCATTGTTAATATTATCATCGAGATCTTCTTTATAAGTGGGAGTAGGATGATTTTTAACTCTTTCACTCCTCCTTAAATTTACGTTATTTTCGGGAAAATGTGAGACGCTTTTAGACGATTCGCCTTGTTCAAAATGAACATCTGAACATTCAGAATTTTTATGGTTCGTATTGGGCAATAAGGTATTCTCAACTATTGTTGGCCTTGTAATTTTAAAATTGGTCTCGTCAATGATTACATCGCGAGCCGTCAGAAAACTTTTCGTATTAACATTCCACACTTTGTACCCATTAGGATTATACCCCACAAAAATGCCTTTAAAA